TTCTTTGCAGAGCACCGTCCCTGGGCATTCCTTCTGCATTAATTAATTCAGGATATAGAACACGAAACAAATGAATGGGCAATACATTGCTCTGTGCACCCGTATCTACTTTGCATTTTAAATTTATATCTCCATTATTCTTACGGTTAACACGTAGGGTAGTAAATATTTCTTCACTAGTAGTATTATTATGACTTTCCACACTATTTATTTCAATAGTGCCAATTGTTGGGATATCTGCATACGGGTCATTCTCATTTTGTTTCTCAAGACTATTAATGGCTTTTTTGTTTTTTCTGCATGGCGACTTTGATCTATGTTGGCTCTTAGGTGATTTGCATACTAATTGCCAGTGATTTAATTTGCCACAATTCCTACATGTGGTACCATGGGCTGGACAGTTCCCTTTATGTGGCAGTTTGTGAGTTTTGCCACAATTTCTACACTGAATAATATTATTATGATTTTTATTATCAGCGTTCAATTTCTTGCGAGTAATGCTATCAATTCGCTGGGGATTTCCCTTATTTGGATTTGATAATGAATTCATTTGACGCTTCGTTGCTTCATAACTTCTAGCAATATCTATGGCAGTATTTAATGTTAGTTTTTCATCGCGTCCAATTAAGGATTTCTGAACTTCAGGATCATTTGTACCCCAAATTAGTTGATCTAATAATCTGTCCTCGCTTTCTTCATTTCCATTAAACTTGCATTTGGCTGCGATATTTTTAATCTTGGCAATAAAATTATCGATTGACTCACCTGGGTCTTGTCGCATACTTTGTAAAGTATACCTGTGAATTCGATGATTTGTCCGTGGCTCCAAATGTTCCATAAATCTATCGAGAATCTTCGCTGGGTCTTTTTGGTCTTTCACGTCCTCGAATGTCCAACTGTTGTAGATGTCGAGACCTTGCTCGCCAACCCATAGCAGGATATAGCTGACTTGTTCTTCTCCTTCAGCGTCTTTGAGTATACTTTTGAACATCAGCTCACATTTTTGCTTGAATTTGCCAAACGCTAAGATCGAGTCGTTAGTTTCCCAATCCATTTGAGGTGCTGAAAACGGTGCACTGAACGCCATTTTCGAGTGTTTTATATCGAAATGTTTTGTCCAATATTTCCTTCGTCTCTATCGCTGGTGTCGAAAAATCACTCACATTAACAAGCTGGGGTTTTTATCCCACCGCTGCCACCATGTTATGTTGTCTTGACTCGATCTAACTCACTGATTGATTTGGATTGTGAAGTATACTTTGACTATATTTTTTATTGTTGTTGTTCATTGCCAGAGAAGCTGGCTTATTTATATTACATAAAACAGGAAGTAACTAACCGGATATGAATATACAACAAATTATATTCCTTTTTTTTACATTCGCAATGGTATATCCTTAAATTAAAAAGCAAATTAAATACAATTATTTTAAAAGAATACAAAATGGGTCATATAGCCACTATTTTTTATCTTCAAATTACGGCAAATAGAAATATTTCGAAAGTTTGGCATGTACGTACAAAACATTTTTTCTATCTTATCGTTTTTCATTCTCGAGATATTTTAGTTTCGTTTGATATGCATGTAAATGAAATAAATCTATGACGTTATACAAACAAGTAAAATGTTAGTTTCAAAGGCGGCAATCTCGTCAAAGGTTCAAAAATGATGAAATCGTTCAAACTATATTATATTACATTACATTATTATTCAGCTCACTCCCCATTGGGGCTTTTCAAGCATTGCGCGACATATTACATCAAGTACGTATTACGATTACTTATGTTACTTACTTAGCCTAGACTATATATCTTTACAACAACTGAGATATTACTTTCCTATAACTGTGTTTATCCTAACCCACCCCGTCAACTTTTCCTGTGGGAGGAAACCAGAGCACCCGGAGAAAACCCACGACTTTCGGCAGGGCGTTGACCGACTCTTTTCACATGAGTCCGTAGCGAGAATCGAACCCACGATCTCAGAAGTGAAAGGCGCCTGCTCTGACGATTGTGCCACCGAAGCCCCATTTTTGTTGATTCTTTTGACCAATAACTTCCATACAGGAAGTTATGCAGCAAGTGCTAGGCGCTCTTGGTTTACACATGCAGTAACTGATTAATTTTGCTTTAGTTATAAGATTTCCCCTGCAGCTAGTAACAAGTAGCTAGCTACCAAGGAAGGGAGTCTGGATGAAATAAGACCAATAGCTCTCACTAGCACAATTTCAAAAATACAGGAGTCTTACGTGGTTGATTGGATGTATGACGATATTGAGTCTAAAATTTGTAAGGAACAGTATGGTGGTGTCCCACGCTCGTCAGCAGTTCTTGCGCTCGTTCACCTTCTACACAAATGGAATAAAGCGTTGGACTTATCACAACGAGTAATACGAATTGTATTTTTGGACTTTCGCAAGGCATTTGATCTTATTGATCACAACCTGCTATTAGACAACTGTTGTAAAATTGGAGTCAGACCGGGGCTTATTGGCTGGTTGGGGTCATATCTGAGTAAGAGGATGCAAGTGACAAGATTTGGTAACGAACTTTCTACAAGCTGCATGATTAATGGGGGAGTTCCCCAAGGTAGTCGTATTGGTCCAATCGCGTTCGTCGTTCATATTAACGGACTGAAGGCAGTGATAAAAGATACCGAGGTCGGGAATCTTCGAGTTAAGCCCTTCGAGTTAAGCCCCTCGAGTTAAGCCCTTTTCGAGTTAAGCCCCGGCCACGCCCTGTTTTGCCATGACCACGCCCTTTTTCCAAAAGGGCCTAACTCGAAGAACGAAACACGATTTGGGTCATCGAGTTAAGCCCCGGGGCTTAACTCGAAGTTTGACAAAAAAGTTGTTGCTCGAGTTAAGCCCCGACTTTTGAAGTATGTCAACGAGTGCAATATTAAATTGTCAAATTTTCAATACAAAAAAGCCAAAGGCAAAGCACAGAAATTTTCCCAAAAAGAACTTGTATATCACTAATGTAATACGATTATCTAAAACAATCACAACTATTATCGTTAACAATATTTTAGGTTTTTCATATTTAAATTAATATTAATTACTTTTAGTGAATCGTTTATCCACAACAAAACAACAAAACAATATTTTAATTATAAAGTAGATAGAATCCTAACTCGTTCCTTTTGTTTGAATGTGCACAATATCGACAAATGAACAGTTTTACTGTAACAAAAATGGTACAATCTTCTCCCATCACCTTGAACAAAACTAATCTATTAAGAAAATGATCGAAAATGACAGCACGTAATAACTAAAGAAAAAGAGAGGAAAGGGAAGGAATTTCGGTATAGAATGATCTGTCTTTGACAACTTGCGCCCAGAGACTCACGCCTCATACGCACATGTACAGTCATTTTATTAGC